GGCCTACTGGAAGCTTCCTGGGACTGGACGCAGGCAGGCCACTTCGATATAGCAAAGGGCCTGCCTCCCAATTCATCATTCGGGTCCTGGCTGCGTGCTGCGCAAGCGCTGCTGCACTATTTGCTGGCCAGCGCTCACGCGCTCACGGGCGAGCAGGGAAGGAGCAGGCAACCATAGCTAAGCTACGCTGTTGTAAGTTGGGTGTGGCGCAGAGTGGCCCTTGGGTGCAAGTGGCATCTGTGTGTTGGGGAACAAGGTTGTGAGTGAGACGAGAGACATACCTGGTGCTGGAAGCGTGCGACATTGGTTGCTGTATGCTCGTACTTCGGGAAAGTTGTTGACGTCATCATTCGGCATTGTAGTCTAGGCCAGATGGGATCTGGCATCTGTAGTCTGGGCGCCGAGCGCCAGATTGGATATCAACATTGGTTCTTCATTGATGATGATGATGAGACTTTACCAACATTGTCAATTATAAGCTCTTGGTGTCTTCTTATTTGGTGAAACTCGTGATGCAATTTTGTTGTTCGTTCGAGGTCACAACTATCTGGTCTTGTGTATATGATGGTGTTTGATTGCTGAAGTTCGCTATTGCTCATCTTCCTTGCAAAACTCTAAGTCTTATGTTTAAGTTCATACCCGACTTAGTATAAATCTGGGAAGTCTCCCTTTCTTAAGGAAATGCTGCCCAATTTTTTACTAATTCAAGGAGTTAGACAAAATCTGACTTCCAAAATTAGATATTGTTTCAGTTCTCATAATTTAGTATAAATTTTGAAAAGACACTTTTCCTACGGGAAGCGCTGCCAAAATTTTCTTAGTATAGAGGAGTTGGATTAAATTTTGACAGGTGGAGATTCTGGCAACCCACCCTGAATAGGGGAGACTCTGCCAAAAGGTCTACCCTTTTTCTTCGGACACTAACTTAGGGGTAGGCTTGGACTTAGTTGGCAGACAACTTATTTGTTATGGAGATTCATTCCCCATACATTGATGATTTAGCTTGGGCGTTGACCTGTTTCATGATACAGGTCCCTCTGATCGTTCCGACTCAACATTTGGACTAGTTCAACTTATTCCAACAAGGATTTTTAGTTATCATTGATAACATGTCGGTTGCCGATCCATCAGTCTACGACTCAACTCCAATCCATTCTCGTTATCCAACCTAAAAGTTTTTAGCCCTGGTGGTTTCTATTGTTTTATTCAAGTTTTCACCCAGACTTTTATTGAATGGCCATTTAACAAAGGTACCGAGTACTTATTTTGGAAGGTTGGACAAAAGTTGGGGTTTCTATGGCTAAAGCAAGGGATATGAGTATAGAGAGTGGTTGAAGTTGACCTCATGTAGTGTGTCTTTTGGTTGATTCTTTTATGTGATTGCAGGTATGTTTTGTGGTTCGGACTTTGGAATTGTGTGCCTACGATCACATACATATATATGGCTGAGAGGAGTCCAACTGTGATTGTGAGAAGTGATCGTCACATGTTTATTCCCCTCTATATATATCGTCACAAACAGAACTGCCCGGTACGTACATATTTATGTTTGAGTGTTCGCATGGCCTAAAGAGCCCAGACTTAGGAGTTCAATTGGGGTTGAGATTGAGAGAGGAAATGAGACTCCCTTCCTTTACCGTTTTTGCTTCTTATAGTTTTTTAATCGGACGTTGGTCCTGGGGCTGGATTCGAGGTCCTTATCCAGGACATCCCGAGTCCTAGACTCCGAGCGGAAAGGATCAACCCCCACGCTGAACCCATTTCTCTTGCCCACCGGGACACTCAACCTAAGGGTCAAAGGTGTCGCGGGGGCTGAGGGGCTGTTCTTTCAGCCGTGCAATATCGTGAAGGGCTTGGAGATTGACACTTGAGTTTCATAAGCGGTACTCGGATCCACGAGGGACCGCTTGATAGTGGGCACTACATAGTACGCCATAATTGCGACTGCTTGCGTATTCATTCATTGTTAGTCGATATGGAAAGGCTCTGCGTCCACGCGGTTTTATACTAAGTTCAGCGCACGTTGCCTATCCGATTTCCTCGTCGGAAGGTTATAGGAGGGCTACAAAAGGGACTAGGAGTGTTGTTGTGTTTCTAGGAGTGTTGTTGTCTTGTTTGTTTTGTGTCGTTCCGTGTGTACGAGTGTTGCGGTGTAATGCCTGGTATGTGGGATGCGTCCTAGTCGACCGACATCAAGCCGAGCTTGGGACTTCATCCCCCAATGCGTCGGTTCACGTGCGGGTTCGATAGAGGCGTAAAACCATGCGTGCCCCATATGCTACAACAAACGAGAAACACCCTCAGTTGGTTCACCTCTGCGATTGCAACTGATTAGCTGTTGTATTGTGGACTGGTAGCTCGACGGGGATACACCCACCGAAGGGAGGTAACAACTCCCGTAGGCGGAGGTAAGTTGTACCTCGCGTTGGCCCTATCCTGTCGTGGGGGCTCGCGAGAGGTATGGCTGGCACACTCGGCCAGAGCGGCTTCCGGAAGCTCCATGTGTATCGTGACAAGGTAGACCAACTCCTGCGTGATGCGGCCGGGAGGGTCCCGCCCTGTGTTGGACCGATGGGCTCGACAGGTGGCGCCGTTGCCGTGGATGACGGTTGCCTACCGTTGTCCCTGGTGGAACGACATCTGGGTATGAGAAAGTGAGAAAATAGGCATGTGATGGAAAATTTTGTACGACTTACAAGGGTGCTTATGTGAAGTTACTATTAAGAAAATTATTATATATGTTTGTTTTGATTGATTGTCTGTTTGGATCACTATGGGTAAAACTTATGTTCCCTTAATTAATTGATTGTTTGTTTGGATCACTATGGGTAAAACTTATGTTCCCTTAAGATGCAAAGTAAGTCGGTAGTTGGCCGAATTGAGTTTAGAAAACAAAGAAAGGATAGTGCCTAGTAAGTTTGGATTATGATTAAGTTAAGCAGGAAGTCAGGTAAGCAGTATGGTAGATCCGCTTGCTGAATGAAATTTCTACCTTCTTGTTATCAGGGATCGATTTTTTGAACCAAGAGATCTACCAAAATGGTCGACGGTGTGGCAAAGGGGTTGACCATTGATGACCAGGTCGAAGCCTTGGACAGGCGAGAGCGGGCAAAAAGCAATGTCCCCAAAGTTAACACCTTCCATTTCAATGGAGAACGAGTTTCAGAGTGGCTAGAGCTGGTCGAACAAGCGTTGGTGGGCTATCGGATGCAGAAGTTCCAACGTATTCTGAAGTATGTACTTCATGGGCATCACAAGGAACTAGAGAAAGTTGTAACGACAGCCAATGGTAGCTGGGCGAGATTTAAAGATGGCATGCAGAGGAAGTACAAGTTGGGCGATGGCCTATTGACTACGGCGGACTTGGAGGCTATGTCAGGGCTCTCGCAGAGGAGTTTAAGAAGAAAGCAAGGAAGGTCCCAGGAATCTCAGAAGAAGCGCAGTGTGCTATATTTATGGGACTGTTTAACGCCTCGGAGGCCCAGGAGTTGACGAGTAGGGGAGGAGGTAGTGAGAAAATCATCTAGGCCACAATCGACAAGGGTGTAGAAGAGGGAAGTATGGACCAGGTGGACCAGTATCAGATGCGCCAACAGAGGCGAAAAAGGAAAGTGCATGATGCAACTACCTCAAGGACTCCGAGGGTAAAGAGGATCATTACGGATGTACTCGCTTAGTGGGGTTATGGAAAGGATATCATGGTACAGAAAAAGGTGGTGACCACGATTCAAGGGAAGGGAAAAGAGTCAGTGGTAGAGGAGGCCGTTCAAGAAGACTGGAAAGAGGAGGAGCCGGTGCCGCAGCATCTTGTGAAAGCGCAGCGCAAGCAGCGCAACTTGACCCAAGGGGGACAAGGTTCCGGAAAAGGCCAAGCATCACAAGCATTGGCAATGGCCTCACCGAGTGTGGCAATGGCCTCACCGAGTGCGGCAACTCCGTCAAGTAGTGCAGGACCTTCTCAAGTGGGGCCACCACCATATGGACAGTGGCCATGTCCTGTTTTTAACACATTCATATGGTACCTTACTCAGGACCTTAGGGGAGTATGCCACCGCCAAGCTACCCTGCAAAACAGGCCCAGCCGATGGCGCCACCTCCGTCGCCCGTGCCGCTAACTTCGCAAGCTAGCGTGGCAAGAGGAGTGAATCAAGGTCAGGGCAATACAGGGAATGGAGGAAGAGGCGGCGGAAGAGGGCGAGGTAGGAACGGCGGAGGTCGAGGGGGTCAATGGAATAATCAAGGTTATCAGGATCAAGATAACCAAGGTGGTCAGGCAGAAGGTCAAAGGAACGGAAGGACTCGTTTTGACTGGCGGAGCACTATTTGCCGACATTGTGATAAGCTAGGCCATACAATACGTTTCTGCCAAGGGAGACAGGACGATGGGAAAAATGGACTGATCTCTTCCAATATGGATGGAGATATATATGATTAACTCGAGGAGTATATTGATACTAAGGTTCCCGGCGGAGTGAGGGCACATGCTTACAGGCGAATAGCCTCGCGACAGGCACCGCCAGCCATGTTCAGGCTATGGCAAGAAAAGGAGGACCCACCTGTGAGAGTGGAAGAGGTGGAGGAAAATGACGAAGTGACCCAATGGCCGCAATTAGGGGTCTTGAGAGAAGGGCCCATAATTATTGAATCAAACAAAGAGGGCTCCGATGAAGAAGTGGAGCCAACTTCCAAGGCCAGATGGAGGATTTATGGGCGAAGTTGGGGAGGTACCAGCAAAAGTTGGTGGATATATGTGAAGAGGTGAAAGCATGGAAGGCAAATCTCCCTAAAGTCTTCCTCTACGAGTCTGGCCCGGAATCAGTGCCATCACGACAAGGGTACCTGGAGTGGCTACGATAGGATCAGGCCCAAGGTCCGGTATGACCAATAGGCCTCCTACGGTGCAGGGAAGAGCTGCTTGGCAGCCCGAACTAGAGGTCAAGCAAAGGCGAGCGCTAGCCAAGGTTATCGGGATCAGGTGATGGAGGTGGTGGAGGAAGAAGGTGGAAGGTGGTCGGCTATGGTGGATGGGTGAAAGAGGTGGTGGAGGAAGAAGTTGGAGGTTAGTGCTATGGCGGATGGGTGATGGAGGTGGTGGAGGAAGAAGGTGGCAGGTGGTTGGCTATGGTGGCTGGGTGAAGGAGGTGGTGGAGCAAGAAGGTGGAAGGTATGGTGGATGGGTGATGGAGGTGGTGGAGGAAAAAGGTGGAAGGCGGTCGGCTATGGTGGATGGGCGATGGAGGTGGCGGAGGAAGGAGGTGGAAGGTGGTTGGCTATGGTGGATGGGTGATGGAGGTGGTGGAGGAAAAAGGTGGAAGGTGACCGGCTACGGTGGATGGGTGATGGAGGTGGCGGAGGAAGAAGGTGGAAGGTGGGAGACGCCCTCCTTGCTACTCCGAGCGCCCCGGTCCGCCCGTCTACACCGTCCCGGTCTCCTGGCACAAATCCTAGCACTAAACCCTCCAATAGTTATGCGGAAAGACAGATTTGCAGAAAACAGTTTGCAGAAAACACAGTTTTTGCAGATTTGCTGTTTTTCCGGCACTTTCGCCGTTTTTGCCTAGGTGAGGAGAGCCGGAAAACACAGGTCTGTGTTTCCCGCCCCAAACGATCTCAGAATCACCCAAAATTTGGAGGGCTCTTTTACTGTACCTCAGGGAAGGCCTCTAAAAAATTTGAGGTGATTCCGACGTCGTTTCGGTCGACTTGCCTGTTTCGGGCGCCGTCCGGCCTCAAGGTGAACAGTTCGGGGAAATCCGTTTTCTGATTCTTCAGAAAAACGGACTCTGATGGTCTGTCGGGCCTGCAGGCCATCTATTTATGCCTAGAATATGAGGTCTGAGAAATCTCAAGCCTCACATCCCAGGTTTAACAGGTCTGTCATAGGGGTGCCCCCAGGTCATTTTGGCCCGTTTGCGGTTCTCTCGCCGGTCTTGCGTCGGGCGGCTCGCCACTTGCTTTTTCTTGCAGTAGCAGATGTCTGGCTTGGCCAGACCTTATCAGCAACTAAGGACCTGTAGCCATCAGAAAAAGCAGCAGCAACAATCGTCTAAAAAATTGAAAAACAGCATCCTACCTACTTCTTCATTACCGCGTTCAAATAGAACATGGGGGCGGGGGGGGATGAAAGCATGCGGTATTCGAATAGAGCACAGGGGGGGGGCATGGCGATTTTCACTAGACTAGGAGGACTCACACCCACAAGGGAAAGTTGCGATCCACACTACACTAGAAAAATGGACAATGCATGAGCACAACATCACAAAAACACTAGAATGAACCAAGATAGAACTTGCGATTTACACCATAGTGAAGATTGAAGGAGAGAGTGGAGAGAAAGTGAGTGAAACTCACTTTTGGACTCACACATAAACAAGGGAAAGATGCGATTTACACTAGACTAGAAAAATGGACAATGCATGAGCACAACATCACAAAAACACTAGAATGAACCAAGATTGAACTTGCGATTTACACCA